AAGTTTTCTTTTTTTTATTTGACTTGATATCTCCGTTAGTTTCCTGATCCTGTTTTCGTTTGGGTGTCTCCTCTAGTGTGTCTGTCAGTAGGGCTGGGGCTGCCTTCCCAAGGTACTCAAATGTCCATAACGTCAATTCCACCTTGTGGGCTGTCCAGTCTTTGTCACCTACATAGAAATAAGGTAATTAATCTGAGAGAAAGAGAGAGAGAACAGAGTTCACTCTAAAAAGATTACTTATCTGTAACAGTCTACAGTGAGACATATCTGAGTCTGATTATTACCTTTCTGAAGCATTTTCATCAGTTGTTTTATTTGATCCATATACTGTAAGTAGAAGCCTGTAGTGTACTGTAGAGGCTGTAGTCCTGGTAAAGCCTGCATGCTCTCGTCTGCCATAAAGGCCGCTTGTTCAGGGGCACCTGCTGTCAGCACAGCTGTAGAGGCACACAGTTGTAAAAAAAAATTTCAAGTATTTTCAAAGATAGTATGGCAAAGAGTGAAAACTGTTGAAATCTTCAGCCTTGTGTTCACAAGTAGAATTTCTTCATTTAGAAATTAATTTATGCCACAACTATTTCAGAATTGGCGTCAATTGTCTTCCAGTTACCAATCAGATTCTAAACAGTGGAGATACAGAACAGAAACAATATAAAGCATATTTAGATAGATATACATACCAGAAGCAGTTGCTGGTCCCACTGCTTTTAAAACTGTGAGCTCTTCTATGGCCTTTTTTAAGTTTGGTAAATGCTTGAAGGCCTTTTTACTTGCTGACACAACTGTATCTTCAGGGTTTGATTCCACCATTTGCTGGAGTCGGGGGCGAAATTTGCCTCTCTGTTTATGAAATAATTCAATGCATTACATGCATGTACATTCTTTATCAATAAGGGTTTAAAAGCTTACACTACTAAATTCTAGTTTTTAAGGCAAATTAATTTTCTGTTGTTATAATTTTTATTATGTTCACATTATAAGCAGAGCTGCCAAAATTCTGAAATGACAAATAGTAAGGCGGGGTCCAGGGACCACCTTAGCCCCAAGCCGCTGAAGATATTTTGTAAATGGACATGTAATTGGAGCGATTTGAAGCATGTTTCTATTTTGTTTACTTTAAAACATTGACATGAATACGATCAGCCTTCAAAACCGAAACAACAACATAAGCAAGCATCGTAAGGATTATAAATATTCAATTATAATAGTAGAAACTGTAGAAGACCAGCTATGAAAACTCCAATATTATAAACTTTGATCAAAGAAAACTGAAATCGGAAGAATATAGATAGAAATCGTAAGGCGTATTTTAGATGCTAATTTCGTAAGACTTGCGCCAAAATTGTAAGGGTTGGCAGCTCTGTATAAGTCATGAACAGTATTAAGTGAATATCAGACAATTTTCATTTTGTTTGATCAATTCGATCATATATATAATCCGAGACTCCTCTGACTCTAACCCCTGCTTTTTATGCACATGTCACAATATAAAAAGCAGGGGTAAGACTCAGAAGAATTACGGATCAGATCATACACTAAGCTTCCACTTCATCAGTTTACACAGCTCTGCTTTTGTGATGTGTTTGTCTTTCCTGTCTTTAATGGCAGATGGCAATTCTTCCTGGAACCTAAAAATATTCACATCAATCTATACTTAAAGCACAAATATCAATAGTTATGAATATTAAAATATAATTTCTTTGAGAACTTATAATAAGTTACGCATAAGCTTATAAAATTACAAACTTTTATTTTTATCTTTAACATGCTTAAAGATCAAGAGCCTCATCAATCTTTATATCTATACTAATATATTGAACTCTTAAGAGTAAGAGAAAGAAGACTCCCCCCTCCCCCAACTCTTTTTTTTTTTTTTTCACATGATCAAGTAGCTGCAGATCTGTAGCGTTATGATTTTATATATTTGTCATTTACCATAATGCTACAGATCCCGCAATACAAAAAAGGTACAATTTACGGTGCAATATTTTTTGTGCACTTTTGAGGAGAATTTCTCCACTTTCTAGCATTGGTCAATTAACTACACTTCACTCCCTAACTCTAGACATATTCTGTAGCCAATATTTATATTTTATCCACCTCCCAACCATTTATAGTTGTCTCTACAGGTAATAACCTCGCTTGAAGTGAATTTTCAGCAATCTAACAAATAATTTTAATCAAGCGAGTTTATCACTTGTAGAGTCGCGACTATAAAGGGTTAGGAGATGGATCAAATATACAGGTTAGTTAAATAATGTGCCTAGAATTAGGAAGTGAAAGGTAGTGAAACGGAAATTGGTTTTGTGATTTAGTTTCGTTTTAACGTTAGACCTACGTTCTTATATAAATTCTTAAACACTAAAAAATATTAATTTTACGATCATACAAGTAGTATGAGACTGCTATTGTACGGGGGCTGCACTGAGGTAATACATGTTGTGTTACAGGAACTCAGGGGACCTCTCTGGTGACGGAGTGGATAAACATTAGTTTGTTTCTTCTCTTGCATACGGTCGTAAGACCTGAATAAGGCAGACGGATGCAGGGGATGAACTGCTAAGTGTTTCACAGTACACCAATGCACGTAAGACCTGAATAAGGCAGTCATTTGGTTGTAGAGAGAGGTGGCATACCACAATCAGAGGTGGGGGAAGTGTCAAGATGCAGCAGTACTAGTGGAGTAGCAGGACTAGTGAAATTTACTTGCAGGAGACACCCGTCGACCACAGTTAGTGGTTGTCCAATCAAGAAGAAACCCATTGTATTTGTATATATTTTATTGTAATTTTATTCGGTCAACAAAAATCTGAGTTAACAGGTTAACGAACCCAAGTGTAACGCCTCGGTGATATAAGACATATCACCAAACACCAAGCAGGTCCAGTCCAAAGACTATTTCAACCTACGTAGGTATTAATAGCTACGTAGGTATTTAAAGCTACCCAAAGTAGCTATTTTTACCTACTTTCTGCTTTACTTGCATTTTGTGGCAAAATGCAGGAACGGCGCAACATGGTAAGCACAAAATTTCTTGATACAGTCACACTGATGATGAATATGACAAAAATTTGGCCAAAAAATGAAAACTTCGTATATTATCAATTTTGCATAGAAACTAATGTAAAATTGCCGATTCAGGAAGTAATCATTTTTTGGCAAAAATTTTGTCGTATTCATCATTAGTGTGACCATATCAAAAAATATGGTATTTACCATGTTGCGCTGTTTGGTCTTTTGGTCGCAAAATGCAGAAATTATATAAACAGGGGTTCAAAATTCCTCAAGCCCGACGTCCCGGACTAACAAATTCCGGATCCGGACTCGGCATTTAGAATTCGCCAAAGTCCTGGGACTTGGCTATGTTTCTTGTTTATCTTTTTTTTAAGCTAAAAAAATGATCGTAAAGCTAAAAATAAAGCAAATTCTCAAATGTATTAAGTAAAAATGTGGGTTTAATGTGGGTTGAATGGGCGTTAAAATACCCATAAACATTACGAACGTTTCGAAAATACAATCCGTCTTTTTATTTTCCGTTGCGGTTAGACTCTTACTTTTATGCAATTCCTCATGTTTCCTCCTATATGACAAACGGCAATGAGCATGATGAGTTTGTTAAATTTCGGTTTTACCAGCAGTAATGCTAAAAAAATCTATTTATTGTAACAGATGGTTTATTCAGTAGTGAGTATTTGTGCAAGTTATTGTAATGACAGTAATGTACCAATAATCTATCAGTCTGGTATTGTATTGAAATAATCATGTATGACTATATGACAGTTTATGGAGGAAAAATAAAACATATATCAATACATATAGTGTTTATTCATTCAATGCAACAAATGAAAATAAATTATAAGTAACATAAATTTAATGATGTATAGGTAAATATGGACTCTGAAATTTCTTCCTCGGACTTGCCTAAAATTTACTCTTTAAGTCCTGGACTTGACCATGACAAAAAAAAATTTGAACCCCTGTATAAAGTAGGTAAAAATAGCTACTTTTGGTAGCTTTAAATACCTAGGTAGCTATTAGTAGCTGCGTAGGTAGAAATAGTCTTTGGACAGGTCCAGTCCAAAGACTATTTCTACCTACGTAGGTATTAATAGCTACCTAGGTATTTAAAGCTACCCAAAGTAGCTATTTTTACCTACTTTCTGCTTTACTTGCATTTTGTGGCCAAATGCAGTAACGGCGCAACATGGCGAGCACAAAATTTCTTGATACAGTCACACTGATGATGAATATGACAAAAATTTGGCCAAAAAATGAAAACATCGTATATTATCAATTTTGCATAGAAACTAATGTAAAATTGCCGATTCAGGAAGTAATCATTTTTTGGCCAAAATTTTGTCATATTCATCATCGGTGTGACCGTATCAAAAAATATGGTATTCACCATGTTGCGCCGTTTGGTCTTTTGGTCGCAAAATGCAGAAATTATATAAAGTAGGTAAAAATAGCTACTTTTGGTAGCTTTAAATACCTAGGTAGCTATTAATAGCTACGTAGGTAGAAATAGTCTTTGGACTGGACCTGTTGGACTGGACCTGCCAAGCTCGGCCGCGTTGCACGTTACAGTAGTTAATTGATCGATGCTGGAAAGTGGAGAAATTCTCCCCCAAAAAGCTCAAAAAGTATTGCGCCGTAAATTGCACCTTTTTTGCATTACGGGATCTGCAGCGTTATGGTAAAAGACAAATACAGAAAACCATAATGCTACAAATCTGCAGTTAATGATCAAGGAAACTAATTACTAATTACCATAAATCTAATTTCTTTAGTTCTTTTCCTTTGTCGTTCTTCATTTTGTCTATCTTCAATTCCATTCCCTTTTGGTAAAGGCGATAAACTTTCTCCCATTTTGTACTCTCCACATTTTGTATGAAGTTTTCCATTGGCATTTCCCGCTAAATTGATCCGTATGAATAGACCTCTTTTACAGAAGAGTTCGTATGCATCTAAACCGGAAGTATTGAAATTTCTGATAATTCTGGGATACGCTTCCTTCTGCCACGTTGGAATGCAGACTGACGTGTAGATATACAAGTCTTTTATTAGTACGTGTTCAGATAAATACTTTGTGTATATTATGCTACGGATGAATATTTAAACTCACAAATAACTTTGTAGAAGTAACCAAAAAAGAACAGAAACAGGTAAATATAGTTAGATGAAGTTGACCGGTGTCTTAAAATGGCCGTCTGTCAGACTGTCATTGTCAACATTGTTTGTATAAATCAGGAACAGAGCATCAAAGAAACCAATATTTCTAACATAAACATTGATATTTCTTCATAATAGACACTTTTGAAACATTGCTTACTCACGAAAAGTGCAAATATTACGTCTATTTTGTTGAATGAATTACGGGATGATGAGAGAACTAATTCAACTTACTTTTATGTATGACAGTATTACAGTAGCTAATGTAATTTTAGTGTATGTTCATGATATTGTAGAGTTGTACAAAAACTTTGAGGGATGAGGGTTAAAGAGATTGAGAGGACAGCCAATGTGGCGTGGTCCCCTGCTCAGCAATATCCAATCTACATGGTGGCAGGAACAGCAGCGCAGCAACTGGATGCCACATTCAGGTAAAAAAGATGGAAAGCAGCATGCATTGAAATGTATGTTATTCTTTGTCAAAAGAAAGTGAGCACATTTTTTTCATGAAAGCAATATAATTCAAAAGAAAGTTGCAGTTAGTCTCAATATGGTTAAAACAATTACTCTTATTTTTAGCACATCTGCAGCTCTCGAGGTATATCATCTGAATCTAGCAGATCCTTCCTTAGACATGCCAATGGTAGCATCAGTACCATCTGAGTGCAGGTAAGATTGCATATTCAGTGCATAACAGTTTTTGTTTTAATTTAGATAAATATTTAGTATGGAAAAGAAAATATCTTATACAAATATTGACTGGATATGAGGACAATATTGATTATGTTAGCCCCCAAGAGATGAGGTATGCCTGACACAGAGTTGAGGGCCATATTTTCATCCAGAGGGGCAAACATAATCAATGACCATTTCCCTATATATAGACTATGCAGGCTATTCTTTACTAAATATATCAATGTCCTTTACTTTACAGGTTCCATAAAGTAGTCTGGGGTTCCCATGGCATGACCGATACTAATATGTCATCAGGCGTGGTGGTAGCTGGGGCTGACAATGGAAGTATGTACTACTATGATGCTGCTGGTATGATCAAGGGAGATGAAGACTGTCTAATGTTTAAGAAAAATAAGCATGTTGGAGCTGTCAAGGCTTTAGATTTTAACCCTTTTCAGGTAATATAGTGCTTTTAACAGTTATGAGAAAAAAAATCATTCAAAAAAATTATGTCATTACACTTGAACAGTTGTCCAACAATGAATAAGAAGTCCTTATTTTAACTTTTATTTTGTTCCTATCTACAGACAAATTTACTTGCCTCTGGGGCTTCAGAATCAGAGATTTATATTTGGGATTTGAATAAACCAGATAATCCAATGACACCTGGAGCAAAATCTCAGGTAAGTAACTAAACTTTGGAGTTGTAATCTCATCATTTTACACATCATGGAGAAGTCTGTACAAGTTTAAAATGAATCTGTATTTATTTATAGCCCCCAGAGGAGGTTGCCTGTGTAGCATGGAACAAACAAGTTCAACATATCCTGGGCTCTACATTTGCTGCTAGATGTGTTGTGTGGGATTTAAGAAAGAATGAACCTATAATCAAGATCAGCGATAGCATGTCACGGGTATAGCATTCATTTAATGTATGGTTATTATTGAGAAAAACGATCAGAAAGACTCACTGATGACAGGAAGGTCCATTCACATATTTTGTTTGATTGTATTTTTTTTGAATTCTAATAGATAAAAGCCAAAATAGTGAGCTGGCACCCTGATGTGGCCACCCAGTTGTGTCTGTCTTCAGAGGATGACCATACCCCTGTTATCCAGCTGTGGGATCTTCGTTATGCCACATCACCCGTCAAACAGCTGGAGAATCACACCAGGTATCAGTTATAATTCTACCCTAAAAAAAAACTTCCATGATCAGGAGTGTCTAAGACACATAGATTACCCAGTCTTTGGAGTACAGAAATTAAAATAAGTTGTAAAGGAGTTTTCCACTTACATATAGTAGTGCAGTCCCTTTTCTTTGTCCATATGTTACCCTTTCGATATTAGCGTAAGGTATTTTGTTTGCTTTTATTGTATACAAAAAAGTATTCGTTTATTCAAATTATTGAAAATGAATAATTTCACATAACAAAAAACACAAGTTAAATTTTCAAAAGAGAAAAATACAGAGCATTTAAGAAGGCTTTGTTGCTGAAATTCCACCAAAATGAGGATTTAGATTATAAAAACGATATGCAAGTCTCAGTGTGTACATGTAATTACTATAGCATGGTAATTTTTACCATTTACTTTTTTAGAGGTGTGCTAGATATAGCATGGTGTCCACAGGATCCAGATCTACTTCTGAGTTGTGGGAAAGATAACAGAATTCTGTGCTGGAACCCCAACAGTAATGTCCAAGGAGGAGAGGTACGTGTTAAAGACATCTGAAAAGTTACTTAAACTGCTTTATAAAAGAGTATCAAGTGTTACAACTCACTTTTTCCTGGCTAATTTTAACAGGTTGTATATGAGCTGCCTACAAGCAATCAGTGGTGCTTTGATGTGAAGTGGTGTCCACGAAATCCGGCTGTTATTTCTAGTTCTTCATTTGATGGTCATGTAACTGTATATTCTCTGATGGGAGGTGGACATCCAATTCACCATAGTGACAAGGTAAAGGCTTATTATGAAAACAATTAAAAATAGAAACTTTGTCAAAAAGTTTTAATCATAATTTTTGATTCAGTGAAAACTCATTTATCAACAAGTTGATTATTTTATTTTTATGATTTCAGGTTGCTGATGCATTTCAATCCAATGATCCATTTGCACAGACCAGTGCACCAACTCAGACCGCACAAAATGTAATGCCTCTTCAGAAACCACCCAAGTGGTTAAGAAAGCCGGTAGGAGCCAACTTTGGGGTAAGTAAGCATTGAGTAAGAGTGAACTTTTGGTATGTGAAAATAAGTGAAGCATATCTTCAAAAAACTAATTTTATTATTATTGAATTTTCTAGAATATGAAGGGGAAAAAATTCTAAATATTAAACTAGATCCTCTTCTTTCTTCAGTTTGGTGGTCGACTTGTTAGCTTTGACACAGAAAAATCTCAGAATCCACAGCAGCCCTCCCCTAAGATGGTGTACATCAGTCAGGTTGTCACGGAGACGGACCTGCTACAGAGGTCCCTTCAGTTAGAGCAGGCCCTGGAGAACGGGCAGTATGTGGAATATTGTGCTATGAAGTCTGCCAACTGTACAGACCCTCTACAGGAAAATATATGGAACTTCCTCAGAGTTAACTTTGAGAAGGAGCCAAGAGAACATTTTATTCAGCTCTTAGGCTATGATAAGACAGATCTGGCTAAAAAGGTAAAATGTTCTCTCTTTAATAGAAAAAACCATTTGTATGCAGATAATAAAGGCAAAGACCACCTGCTGAAAATTATTCAAAGACTGATTAAAGTTTTAATACAGAAAAATAAGCCAATGAAAATTTTGTAAATTTTCTATTCGCTGTTATTCGCTGTTATTACAGTATTGTGTTGTCTGTTTAACCAGTTTATTTATTTTTGTGCAGGTGTCTGAACATGTAGGCGTGGGGCAGGACAGTGGAGTGGATGCTAAGATTCTGGCACAGAAAATGTCACAGCTTAGTCCTGAGGTACCTGTAAATGTACACAATTATTCACACCTGGTTTTCTTAGCAGATTCAGGTCATTCAGAAAATTATATCGTAGGAGCAGATTTTGATTTAAAGATAAAGTTGACTTATGTATGACCTCTTCTCCTCCTTTTGTTACAGGACTTGCAGGATTCTGGACGCCAGGCCTCTGTCCAAGGTTCTCCAGTGGTGGGATCCAAGGTACGGGGGTAACAAACTTGTCTAACAAATGACCGGTGATTGTTTGTATGGATCAGTGTCTGCAGAAAGTTTTATCATTCTTTTTATGTTGAAGTTCAGAGTATATTGGGTAATGTTTTCTTTCGTTTCTTCAGACACCAGTGAGTCAAGATGAAGCTGCTTCAGCTTTTGATGAGATTGGGTTGTCACAGAGTAGTAAATCAGAGGACCGAGAGTCACTAAAGCCACTGCTTATACCCACAGACCAAGGTAAGCTGTTGTACTGGGCAGAGCTGGTTTTCAAAGCAGAAAAAAGCGTAAACTTGTAACTAAAAGTAGTTGTCAGAAATATACATGTCGAGCAGGGCATTTAATGAGTGCAGAAAAATTATTAAAGATTTTAGTGTTTGCCAAGGAGTGAATCATGTATGGTTATTTTATCTACTTGTAATTAGATGCCGATGGACTTTTAAGCCAGGCTTTGTTGACTGGAAACTTTGAAGCTGCTGTGGAGATATGTCTGTGTGAAAACAAAATGGCAGAAGCTATCATCCTGGCGATAGCGGGAGGGCCGGACCTTCTCAGTCGCACACAGAAGAGGTTCTTCCAGCAGAGCAAGTGCAGCATAGGAAGGGTAGGGAACTTCTCATTTAAACATTAATGTTACTCTGATAAAATAAGTTACAGTATATATTTGATGATCAGAGGGGATAAATAAAGTGAAAATTTTTGTATATCCTTAAATTAGAAGTTTGTTGTTCATGAAGAGATTGTTTTATTGTATTTTGAAGAGATTGGTTTATAAGAAGATTGTTTTATTGTAGCTTATATCCTCCGTGGTCACCCATGACTGGTCACACATTGTAGAAACCTGTGATCTGTCTAACTGGAAGGAAGCGCTAGCTCTGATCTTGACTTACGCCTCTCCTGATGAGTTCTCAACACTATGTGGTGAGTCACTACTGCAAAACATTAAATAGTCGTGTAGCTTTCTGACTGAATTCAACTGAATTATGTTAAATCCAAATGTTGCATTGTATATTATGTATATCATAACTAATAAATCCTACAATACATATAGAAGGCTTTGTAACAGCATTATGAGTGATAAGCCTATTGATTTTGAATTACAGACAGCTTGGCCCAGCGGCTGGAATTGGAGAGTGCCGGTGACCTTAGTGTGTACGCCAGTTTGTGTTACATTTGTTCTGGAAATGTGGAAAAACTCTTACAAAACTGGTACGCTAACACAGAAGGAAACAACACGCCACTCGGTTTACAGGTAATTAACATTACACCTGGCATTTTTCTGGGTAGTAATATAATTTTGTAGTTGTCTTACTTCTCTAACGTGAATTTCATATTTTTTCTATTTGCATGATAGATATTTGCGTAGGAAAATGGGACAGAGTGAAATGAGATTTACAGCAACACATGAAAAACATGTTTATTACAGTAGCATTCTTTTTGTTATTTTAAATTTTACTTTTTCCTCTCCAGGACATGGTAGAGAAAGTAATGTTACTGAGAAAAGCAGTGGAATTGTCTCGAGGACAAGCTACAGATATCAGTGGAGGACTACTGGCGGAAAAAATGAATGAGTACGCCAGTCTGCTGGCAGCTCAGGGAAGCTTAGATACAGCTGTCAGATACTTAGGAAACTCTACAGATGTAAGTTATTCAAGGAATGGAAAAAATTACTGTTTGTTAATTTCTGAAGGCATAGAGTTAATTTCAAATAAAATTTTAATTCGCAAGATCAGAAGAAGTGATAAAAATTTTGAAGATCACCAATAATTATCCAGTTGAGACATGTTATGATACCATATGTAAATGTTTATTACAGACAAATCTGATGATCTTAAAAGACAGACTGTATAATGCCTTGGGAGCTCGGGGAACACAGTGTCCATTCCAGAAGGTAAATGTCTTACCAGCAGGTGCTCCTCAGCCCCAGCAAATATCAAAGAGGACCACAAGTGTATTTTTTATTTTACCAGGCGCACCAGAGACAGCCCGGTCCATTACATCTATCTATGTTCTACTTCCCACCCCGTTTGGGAAAACCAAGTCTCAGCAACCAATCAGATCAGCGCACGTACATGCACGTGTATGCATATGCATGTTGACCATATCTTCTTGTAGAAGTCCATTATATCCGTGACCACGCCCAAAACAGCTCCTACAACAACCCAATGCACGCGTTTTCACTATATATCTTATTGTAGGATATCCTCATGCCTATGTTTAAAATTTCAAAGGATTTCTCATATGCGAAGCACACGGCATGCGCGTGACCTCACAACCCTCTTATATCCTCACAATCCAACAGCAAATGTTACGCTCATATTGGTCATTTCACGTGTTGCACTCCTCCAACCATCAAGCACAGGGGTTATGTCTAAAGGTAGGTTCTTTTATCTTAACATTTAGTCAAGTAGTTGGAAGTGAATGTAATTGTGTTTGTTAAGGTTCTGTTTGTGGTGGCATAGGACAAAAGTGTGTGTGGGAAAAAAAAACATTTTGGTGAGGAAATAGTCTATAAACTTATCCTTGTTTTTCCAACAGGTCCACTGTCACATAAATACCCCTCACATCCAGCCACGACATCAGCTTATGACCCCTACACACAAGGAGGTTACCAACCAAGCAGTCAGCCGTATAATCAAGTTCCAGGATATGATCCTTCTTTCTACAGGTCTGTAACACCCTAATTTATATCATCACCTTACCAAGTCTCTATTCCTGTTACCTGTACAGTATGTTCAACAATAATATTGGTATATATCTGATAGTTAAAGCATGCATTTCTGAAATAAATTTAAATGGATGAAGTTAAAAATTAACGGTTGCTTGAATGTAATGAATGATTGAAAATTTGATTCCATACCCCTGAACTGTTTTTTGTGCTTATTTATAGTGGAATGGGAGCATCTAATCAGCCAACAAATCAGCCAACAAATATGTATCAGCCCTACCATAATCCAGGTATCTACTGCTTTATACATATAAGTACCTCTATTTCATAAGGAACCCACTATCTATAATTGTAATGCTTCTGTTTGTGTTTAGTTATAATGTTTGCTTCTGTTTAGTATACTGTATGTGTATAAATGTTTGCTGTAATCTGTGTTGTTATTAGCAGGCTCGGCTTCTTCAATGGCTCCACCACCTGTCAGTGAGAATGTCCACTCCTTCATGAATAACCCTCCCCCCTCAGCCTGGAATGATCCTCCCCTGCTGAAAGAAAAGAAACCAAAGGTAAACTTGACACTCAATACCCACTCAATACCAACAGAGAATGAGGTCGGCTTCTCATTCATAAAAAGCCTGTTCCCTGATTGTTAAATAATTTGTATTTTAAGAATCCCCCCACACAGTACGATGGAACTGCAATAACAAGTCCACTGTATGGGACCTCAGTACCTCAGGACTCCAGTCAGGGAGGAGGAGGAGGGGCCACAAATTATCACCTGTACAACCCCCAGGAACACCAGGCAGAAATACAGGTAGGGGGCACCTGCTGACCATGACAAACATATCTTGTACCTGAAGTTTGAATTTACAATACTGCTTTGTATATGTATACTGTATAGTGGGAAATTTTCACCCCCGTTTTATTTTCGCCCCTTTCGCCCTACCCTCATTTGGGCGATTTTAAAACGGGGCGAATTCAAAGAATACTGTATAATTTCTTAAACAAAATTATGACTGGGCAAATTTAAAACGGTGCAAAATTGTTTGCAAGTATGAAAGGGCGAAAATAACACGGGGCGAAAATAACCCTGTATACAGTACATAAGCATATTGTATTTTTATGGCGTCGGGCTTGCCCGATCGTCATCTAGCGATCAGTCAGGTTTACGCGACCGCACGTGTCAGTGGATGCATCCGCAATAGAAAATAGCAACAGCTGTAAACCAATTTCTTTTAAAACGTTCACAATGAATAATAGCTTGAATATAAAATTAAATCAATTGTATCTTCAATTAATACTACTACAAAACAACGATATTATGTTTAATTTTTACCAAGAAAAACGTTATGGTTGTTGCGGATGAATTTCTACAGAGAGGGTGCGTCGAATGACATGAATCACATTTTGGGACCGATTAATGTAATACAAACAATCTTAAATACGGTAAAATAATTACAAAATAAACACGAATACAACAAGACTATAAAGATTGAATTTCTTAATCTTAGCTTTGCTTTTACGATCTTCAATCCAATTTTATCCGAACAACCGACGATATTGGTAATGCCAGTATTACTGTATTTATCCATTTCCTCCATTTGTTTACCGCGCCCTATCGTAAGTCGATCGTACTTGTAACATTACTAATTAGAGTCATGGTTGTAGTTAAGATGCAATCACTATACAACAGAACAACGCTCTGACAATGGCAATTAATTAAAATAATTTATGAAACCCTTCATATGTCTTCGACTGACTGAAAAGAAATTAGATTGATATAGAGGATGGACATTTCTGACGATGTCTGGTCAATTCGAACCCTGACTCATTCGGACCAGGACACAAGGCTATAAGGCCCTATACTGTATATGTGTTAAGACTATTTTTTTTAATTTTATTATTATGTTACCGGAGTCACTCACTTGACCTATCTGCAGATCTTTTGAAATTGTTTTTCTTGTTCGACGCCATTGAAGCCTTTCAGGCTTTTGATTAATTTTCTAACTATTGCATAAATCTAATGTATTCTTCCTTTTATTCTTCTTGAAAGTTCTTTTTTTTTTGTATTTATTAAATATTAACTTTATGTTATTTATTAGATTTTTCTCTATCTTGCTGTTAAATAGCTAATTTTCAGGAGGGTTTTGTGTTCATTATCATGGTATAAAAGGACCTAAATATTTGAGTCCTCCACAAAATTTGAAATTTCGAACTATATGTTTCTTTAAGAATCGCAAAACAAACCCACAAGATACTACCTGTAATTTTTAATCAAACCATGAAAATATGACCCCAGAAAAATAATTGATATTACAGTATTTTATTTACAGCAAAATTCTCAAAGAAGAGAAAATTCAGAATTAACAAAATGTCGTTCATTTATAATTAATTAGGGCCCCGCAAGGATTTGCGGGTGCCCTATAGTAATCACTCTGTCTGTCCGTCTGTCTGTCATTCTTCCGTCCACAAATTTCCTGTTTTTTTCTAATAACTATTTTTATGGTTGCCCAATCAAGTTCAAATTTGATTTGGTAGTTCAGTAGGTAGAAATACATATTTTGATGCTAAGTTTGGTTCTCTATGTCTTCTGGTTTGGAGCTGGATGGTGGGGTAGATTCCTTAACTCTGCATAAGAATGAATGAGCAAAGAGAGATAACTGCGGAAATGTTAACATTGCCTACTTGGAAGGCTGTGCAATATTTGTCCTTTGGGATTAATTAACCTTCCACTTGAAGAAATTCCTAAGAATTATCTTTTCACATTGAGATTAATTATGTACTGCCTCTGTCTGCAAATGAACTTTGTTTTGAAGTTAATTTTGAATGATGTGTAGTATTGTGTACATTCTCTGAATCTGAAATATGGATTTAAAATAATGTTCATACTTTATTTTGGTTAAAATACTTTACACAATGATTTATGATAATTTCATTGAATTATAAAATCAAGATATGTATTAAGATATCCTTTTTTACTATTACTATTTTATTTTTGTTTTTTTTTTATTATTTTTTTTCTGCCTTAATGCTGTTAATTTTAACAGGCAATCAATAATAACCCCATTCTGTCAGTGCTGAAAACAGTTCTTATTGTTAATTTAGAAGAAACCCGAACAATTAATCCCCTGGGATTAATAATCTTGCTTGCTGCAGAAAATTCGGAGGCTTATCCTTATCTGTCACATGAAGATTAATGAACATCTTTGTCTGCAACTGATGTTTGTTTTGAAGTTGAGGTCAACCCTGGGTGATATTTGCATTCACTGAAGGCTTGCATTTTATAAAACACATGCTTAAATATTTTTTTAAATAAACATTTAATGTATTTTTTTTTATAAGACATGAAGTTTTCCTGTTTTATGCAAATACAAGCTTACTATTTACAGGTTTTTGGAATTTAGGAATTATCTTGAAATTTAAAAATACAGTTGTTACTTATAATCTTCATATATTTTTTTTAAAAAATGTAATCAAGTAATACTCTCATTCAATGAGCTGCACCCTTATATTTTTACCCCTCAGCGGGGCCCTTGCTGACTGGTCAGTTTTCTAGTTAATATGAAGTTGAGAATGTATATACCTGTATGATTAGAGTTTTACTGACGAGCAGAACAGCTTGGCTTTCTCTCTCTGTATTCTCTGCATGGCATGCACTCTGATAACAATCCTTCACTGTACCTTCAGCCTGCCCAACCCCCCAGGACATTCCACAATGCCTCCGCTCCCCCAGGGTCACAGCAGAAGGTGAGAACGTAAAGACACTGTGGACGTGTGGCCAAACAAATCCTTGTCTTTACATTAAAACTTAACCACATTCTTATCCAAAATTTTGCAAAAGTTTGAAGACACTCAAGTTCAATCTTAACTGCTTGCCTTTCATTTTTGTTTCATTTTAAACTGATTAACATCATGTTCTTTATTTAACTTGCACTTATACAACCTGTATTAACATTTTTTAGTTATTTTTTGCTTGCTTTAGTAATTTAAATACATATATTTATCATTAACCTTGACCATGGGTATCCTAGTGGTCAAGCACATGTCATTGTATAGATTCAGCATTGTCTTTCTGTATTATTCTCAGGCAGCAGCATCTGTCGCCCCTCCAGAGCCCCCTAAACCTGTGGAGAAAGGACCAATCCCCTCAGAACACAAAGTCTTACAGGACATATTCAACAACTTAGTCCATAGCTGTTCAAATGTGGCCTCCAATGCTGTAAGTATAGATAACTAGTTCTATGTGGTAGTCCTATGTGTAGCTGCAATAATGTAGCCCTCTAAGTCTTCGTTTTTTTTGGGGGGGGGGAGGGCTACAACTCCTTAGGATCTCCGTAATGGTGCAATGCGGGAGCGATTCACTCCCACATGGATTTCAACTCAGATTGTCAGTAAATGGCTATTTAATTAACATGTCTCACCCAGACTTCCAAAATGTAGTTATCCAAGACATAAATGGATCCAAAATTTACAGAACAATCCAAATATCGCTTATTTTTCTTGTATGTCAACATCACAACTTAAATTTATCCGCCATGTTTACTGACCTTGACAGATTTTATTTTGGGACAGCCAATGAGATTAAGGATCTATAGGGAGCGGATTTCTTTGGAATGACCTTATTTTAAGGCTAAATATCGCTGTTTTACATAAAAATAACACATGGAATGATTTTATTTATCAATGTTTACTGATACTATTCATCACAATTATTTATAAACACCAGCACCCCATCCGCGCGACCTGGTCAGGGGCACTGGGGTTTGGACCGTTACATCTCGACCAACACCTGCCTTATTGAGTTATTCTAAATTTCAAGCGCAAGTCTCAGTGCGTCACGCGTGAACTGTCATGGCTGCTGAGTAGAAGCCACAGGTAAACACTCAGATTTATTCTACATGGTTTTCGCGTTAAACGGGCTATGTTGTTGACAGTGAATAAAAATCTTGTCTTATTAGAAGTAAGTTGAATTTAAAAACAATTTATTCTGCCTGCAGTCGCCCGTATTAAAAAAATATTTTTGCACCATTACGGAGATGCTGTGGAATTGTAGACCTCTCCAGAAAACATCAGATTAAAAAAAAAAATCGGTGAGGGCTATATTATTGCAGCAATCCTATGTGGGACTCCAAGTTTCTATATTGTGTATGGGAGAGGTGCAAGTAGTGTATATTAAGAAGCTTCTAATTAAGTATTCTAATTTTACTTGTTCTGTATTCCTATGATTTGATTTTATTAATAAAAATACAGAATGATGTACATTGTATAATTTTGTATGCTTCAAACCATCTGCTTGTCTTTCAGCAAATGAAGAGAAAATTAGATGATGTTTCTAAAAAGCTGGAACTTCTCTATGACAGATTGCGAGACCATAGTGTAAGTACTATATATGCGAAATATTTATGTGCGCAAATTAAGCTAGCTTTATCTGAATGAGCTCATGTTTTACAACTGATATACATCATTGTACACTGACCTGTGTTATTTTGTGTGACAGCTGTCCCAGGCCGTGATATTGGGTCTACATCAGATAGTCCAGGCCATACAACAGTACGATTACAACACAGCTCTACAAATCTACACACAGATGATCAGTCAGGGAAACTTCTCAGAAATCAGCAGCTTCATGCCGGGACTTAAAATGTTGATCCAGTCAGCAATGCAAATGAATGTTTATGTACAAGCACATTAGTCATAGATTAGATTAGGATTTTACAGTATTTATATCGTGAAACAATGAGCTGCCAAATTTGAAGGTGTCGTATAAGAACATAAACTTTATGTGATACCTCACAGATAATAATGTGATATGTGTATTAACTCTTGAGAATTCATACAAGTGGAAGTCTTCAAAGAATTTCAAAAGACATGAGACACAATTTTTTAAAATTAACAAAAACAATGTTATTCATATGAGTGAAATTCTTGTGAGTTAAAGGAAAGGCTTTTATTTCCTATTTTTTCCTGTGATGTTGACAAGATAATAACTTATTATCACTGTACCTGTATACATAAAACAAGAACAAGACCTCAGAGCTGGTACCTGGCAGCCCAGATAATCTAGTGTATGAATAAGATTCATATTGATGTATATTTTTTCCTTCTATGTAGTTAGGGCCTTTATTTTATTTCAAAAGGAAGTGAGAGCATATTTTTCTAGTCATTCTTCATGAAAACACCTAACATAAAATGCCTAGATATATTACTGAGATTACTGTACAAAGTTTCTTGAATTTTTTATTGGAATGAATAAAATGCACTTAGAAATTAATGCTACAAATGCAGATTCTGTTAAATAAATCATTTTTTTTAGACAGTAAGTAAATTAATTGTACTTGGAAAGAAGTATTGGTTGACATTTTGAATGTTTTTCTCTGTTACAAGCATGCTGTTCAGAACATTTGAAAATCAATGTTAATCTTCAATCAGTATGTAATAAATATTTAGAATAAGGTTAACATGCTGTATACATGTCATGTATATGTACTGAACACAACTGTTAATGTGACTGGATGACGTATAAGTAATTATAAAAAGAAAATCTGAGAAATGGATTGTCTTGGTTTATGTCAGTGAAAACAGATAAAATATTTTCTTACCTGACCCTTAACACTTCCCACATTTTCTGGTAATAAAAACACCTACTTAAATGAAATATTTGCTTACAGTGTAATGCAATAGTTTTAACACTGAAATAGGCGTTCCCAGCTTTACATGTAACATTTCTATAGAACTAAATGATTGTTGATCTTTCCCAACTTTTTGAATTTCTTGACTTATGGTCACTGGTGATTCCAAATCTTGGCTTTACTAATTATACCCCCTGCTTGAAAAGTGGGAGGGTGTATAGTGATTGGGATGTCCGTCCGTCTGTTATGCATTGTCATATCCATCTCTTATTCGCAACTTCTCATACCACCTCATGACATTTCATGAGACTTTAAAAGAATGCCATTGTTTATTTATATTTCACCTTTTATTTTACTTTTTGATCCATATCATTTTTAGCTCACCTAAGCCGAAGGCTCAAGTGAGCTTTTCTGACCAAAGTTTTACATAGAAATATAAAGGAAAATTCTCCGTCTAGCTGTTCGTCTGTCTGTAAACTTTTCACATTCAAAATCATGGAGAGAAGACCCAGAGATAGAAAAATTTTAGAAAAACGTGTTTACCATTTTGTACCAAATGTCTGATCTGGCCAATTTTCAAGTTATTTTTTTAGCAAATCAAAGCTCAATTTCGGAAAAAAAAATTTTCTTTTCCTGTTGCACAGGAACCCAATAAACAGGGTTCGACACTAACAGTAGCCCGCTGGCCCGGGACAACTGAATATTGAGGTTGGGCTACCAAACATGCCTTTAAACTTGCCCTGCAGGGCTACTAAGAATTTTACTAAATACTTACTCAGAAATAAAAATAATTATCAATTACACACAATGTATCTAATAATTATTAAATCTATTTTCAAACGTTTATAATTATTTTTTTTTGTATGTCAAAATTGTAAAATTTAAAGGTGATTCGAAATACCCTAAATGATTATATATGTGGACCTTTTCGAATAGAAGAATGTCTAAGGTACAGTCATATATAGGCATATAATTTCTTTTAAAATACAGCCAGAATGCAATTTGGCAACCATCTATTTTCAAATACCCCCACCAGCACGAGGGGAAACTTTTCCTTTCTCTTTTTCCTACCCACAGTCGCTCGCCTCGGCCACCAGCCTTTGGCTGCTGGACGTGGCCACCTCTTGTTTTGGTTTCCCGTAACTAATACATGAACAGGGCTAGTAGAAATTCAAAATGGTTAGCCCTGCTGACAACTATGGTTTAAAAGTTAGTGTCGATCCCTGATAAATAAAAAAAAATGTTAAGATTTCATGTGACATGTCGATAAAATTTTCACTTTTCAATTACGCCCAGATTCCTGCCGAATGTCAATCAAAGGCGCCCTCGATCTTTGGTGGTATGATTTGAAAATCTTCTTCTCAAGAATAATTGTGCCAGGAAAGATAAAACTTATGGGGAAACATCCTCAGGTAGTGTACATTTAAGTTTCTTCAAATCATGACCCCCGGGGGTAGGGCGGGGCCACAATGGCCGACCAAAGTTTTACATAGAAATATATAGGAAAATTCTTTAAAAAATCTTCTCAAGAATAACAAGGCCATAATTGATCATATTTATATGGAAGCATCCTCAGGTAGTGTAGATTCAAGTTTGTTCAAATCATGACCCCTGGGGATAGGGCGGGGCCACAATGGCCGACTAAAGTTTTACATATAAATATATAGGAAAATTCTTTAAAAATTTTCTTCTCAAGAATAACAAAGCCATAATTGGTCATATTTATATGGAAGCATCCTCAGGTAGTGTAGAATCAAGTTTGTTCAAATCATGACCCCCGGGGGTAGGGCGGGGCCACAATGGCCGACCAAGTTTTAAATAGAAATATATAGGAAAATTCTTTAAAAATCATCTTCTCAAGAATAGCAAAACCATGATTGGTCATGGGACTTGGATTTAAACTTTTCAATAATAAACCAATTTCGACTTTTTCCTAGCCACAGTGCTCAGGTGAGTGACGTGGCCCATGGGCCTCTTGTTTTGGTTTCCCGTAGCAAAACATAGACTTTGTCATTCTTTCTATATTTATGCCCATCTCTTATCCGCAACTCCTCCTTGGCTTTTATGTACAATGTCTAATTTGGAAAGTAAAGATAAATCATTGATATTTTTTTAGATGGATAGCCAAAATCAAAGTTTAAAAAGCAAAGATTGAAGTTGTAGAAACCAAGATTTAACACTTTTAAAGTAATATTGGCTTTCTACGATATATGCTGCTTTGAAAAGCAAGATATGCATGTATTTATCTAGCTCGTATGAGGGCGTTGGCCATGGTATTCCCCCCGAATTTTCCTGGGTAATGCTGACGTAAATCTCTACCAAGGGTATATTTATTAATTTTTGCCAAAGTCCCCTTTCTTCACCATTCTATGTAAATATGTCCCGAGTGTAAATACGTTTGCAGACTCTTTTGTACTATTACTATCTAATTGATATCGGATATTTTTTTTTAGAAATATGAAAGTTATTGGATAAATTTATGTGCTCAGTGAATCATTGTGAACCAACGGAACTTGTCAAATACATAAACTTTAGATGCAAATACTGATGAGAAAGATTTTGGTGGCTTGTATATTAAGTCTGTTGCTTCAATGTTACAACGTAGAAAAAAAAAACAATTAGTCCAAGGTCTGCAAAATGTAACGCTTTGTGTTAACGAGTCTGTCGTCCTTTTCTGTTTTAGGTTTGTTAATGTTCAATTTATTGGATTCTTTTCAATCGAATATAAAAATGAGTCAGTCATATTGTCAATAGAAAATACGACGACCCATGAGGTATAATTGTGCTGCAGCTGTAATTGTAAAATGAAGATGGAAAGTATTTGGCTAGAGGAGATCTGTAGGAATCATCCATAGTTTGTCAGTCAGACGATTTAGTAGGCTTATCTCGGAAGAACAGACTTTCTGAAAGTTAGGAAAATAAAATTCTTTTTAAATAACATTGAATTTATGTGCTATGTCAAAAAAAAAATGTTTCTCAAATTTATAGTACATGTCTTTTATAATTAATAAAACAACTTGCAAAATAGAACTAAATGAAATCAAACTTATACATGTATATGACCTGATTGCTTGTTTTAAAAGAATAAGTGCCCCATGCTAGGATCAAATCAAAATTATAGAATAGTCTTCGTCATGGACAGGTAAAATATATGTATAGAGATCCTGAATGATATAGATTTCGAATGATTTCATTAAGAAATTTAAATTACTTTGAATTTCAATAAATATCAGTAAATGGTATTAAATTCAGACCTAGGTCAGTCCAAACCAGAACCCTGTATTTGTTATATCGATACAGGCTTCTGACATATAAGTTGAAGTTACAGAGTTTTTCCACCGTTTCGTTTATTGTCAAAATTTTGCAGTGTGGTCGTTATATAGAAAAACTTTTTGCAAATACGACCAATCGAATTTTGACGTTTCCTGGCATTTGTCATTTTTTATACCCTATTAAGTAAATTGGATCCACACAATAACAATATTTGTATAACTCACGAGTGTTCGTTCTAATCCAACCAGAATCTCTATTCATTAGAAACATGAAAACAGAAAGCTATATTTGTATTCGATTAATCATTGTGAGCAAACAGAACATGCCAAATACATCATAAACCTTAGATGCAAATGCTGATGAGGACGCAAATGTAGATTTCAGTGGTTTTTTTTATATCAAGTATGTTTGTTATATCTTAACAACGTAAAAAAACAATTAGTCAGGGGTCGCCGAAGTAAACTCTCTGTGTTTATGAGTCTGTCGAGCTTTACTGATTTATTTCTATTAATGTCGGATTCATCTTTGCTGTTGAATATAAAAGAAGAGTCAGGGTGTCAATATATGTATAAAAAATCAATGGAGATATAATTAGACTGCTACCATTGTTGTAAAAAAAAGAGATATTCAGATTCCACGGACCATCTTAACTGAAAAACATATATGAATAGATTTGCTGCAATAGTTCTGAATCTAAAGATGTAGAAATGAAAGATATGGATAAAACGAACAGTATTCAAGCTCAAAAGCCCAGTGCATTCAATAAATCATGGACTTTTAAAACATCAGAGGTGGGATCAAGTGCGATGAAGGAGTAAGCATCCCCTGCCAACCGGTTACACCCGCCTTGACCTCCTTGTCATGATCGGCAAATAGCGGAAAAAAATCCGTCAACAATTCAGTTTGTAAATAGTGGCCTAACAATCAGTATGAAAAACGCCAGTCAACATTTGACCTAACACTAGTCTGAATTTGTTGACAAGGTCATTATGGCGAACTAAATCTTGAGAACTGATAACCTGTTGATATTCTTGTTTCATCATCTGAATTTTCAGTAATTTACCTTGTTATAGAAATTGTTTGTAGGCAGAGCATGTTCTTGCATATCCAATCAACTGAGAGATTTAAACTCCATATGCAGGCGACCTTCAACTCAACAACTTAAACTGAAGCCTTCAACTCGATGTTTCGATATATCGATGACATATTTTTCAGTTAACAGTAGCTGCGTGTACCTGCATCCATATGTCAACTCGATATATCAAAGTGAGCTTGAAACAAAAGATATCACCGAGTCTGATATATCATTTTCATATTTTGATATTTTACCAAGCTCTATGATAAACGTGATGACTAACTTTTCTATCGTCAACTTCCTTTACTTATGCAGCAATATACTAGTACCTTCATCACCTGCATACGGAGTTTACATATCTCAGTTGATTAGACACGCAAGAGCATGCTCTATGTATGAACAATTTCTACAACGAGGTAAATTATTGACAAACAAGTTGATGAAACAAAAATTTCAGCAGGTTCGTTTAAAGTCATCATTTCTTAAGTTCTATGGTCAACACAATGACCTTGTCAGCAAATACAATTTATCATTGAGTCAAATGCTGACTGACGTGTTTCATACTAGTTATTAGTCC